ATTAAAAATCCTTTGTGACAAAAAGACTAAACAGGAGCAATATCAGGTCTCTATCATCTAAAGTAGTTTTAGTGAACAAATTAATATCAGATAATCATATTGATTTACTCTGTCTCACTGAAACCTGGCTGTGTCACAATGAATATGTTAGTCTAAATGAATCCACTCCTCCAAATCATAATAATACCCACATTCTGCAAGGTAGCGGCCAAGGAGGGGGAGTTGCAGCCATTTTTGACTTTATTAATCAGCCCTAAACCAGAACTAAATTATAATTCCTTTGAAAGCCTTGTCCTTAGTCTTGTACATCCGACCTGGAAAACCTCACAGCCACTTCTATTTGTTATAGTGTACTGTGCTCCTGTTTTTATCCAGTTTAGTTTTTAAATCATATAAAGTTATCATTGTGGGTTATTTTAATGTTCATATTGATAATGAAATGTATGCATTCATTCATTCATTCATTCATTCATTATATTTTATTTCCATGTCATGCCATGTATTTGGCCCATCCCACATGGGATTACAGGACACATTATTTACAAAATATACATCTTCCGGTCTTACATATACAAAACGTGGAAAAAGAAAAAAAAAAAAACACAAACAATATAAATAAATATAAAAGAACTGTTATATATCTATGAATTATAAAGAGCTTTCTTCCTCCTCTCCCAAGCTTTCTCCAGATACCTGGCTAATTTATGTTTCATGTGTAAACAGCCAACTCAGTCTTTGTGCGTCATCCATATTTACAAAGTCAACATCCATTCTTATCTTACTAAACAAAACTTCATGCAGTTCACAATATAAAGGACAATAGAAAACAAAATGAAACTCATTTTCTATACAATTTAAAGAACATATTGGACAAATCCGTCTTTCTTCTTCTAAATTAACATACCATCCAGTTTCCACAGCCAGAGGTAAAATGCCAAATCTCAGCTGGGCACATAAAGATCTCTGCTTTTCTGACAAATTATATACAACATAATTCTCTGTACCACATTCAGTTTTTATCCTTGTAAAAGTACGCAGTTTTGGTTTAGTCCATATATCCTCTGCCCGTTGTACTTTTTCCTCAGTGAACACAGATTCTCTAAACAAATTAATATTAAGTTTTTCATTATTAAAAAAGGCATTACCAAACCCAGAACTACAAAATAATGTACGTACATCTTTGGACCAGGAACCATTCATTTGTTTATCCCAATTGAATATTTGCCTTGTCAGCCTACTTTCTTCCATATTAAGTAACCGATTCCATAACTGAACAATACATATCTTACAACGAACCTCACGATTCCCATCCCATGTCCCCCACTATAGCCAACTTTGGTATATATTTGTGCACACCCAGGAAATATCTTATAGCACTGTTTTGTACTGATTCACACATAGAAATACTTCTAAGGCCCCTAACCCCAGCAGTATAGTCGAGCACTGGACATACACAAGCTTGAAACAGCTTGGAATATGTTTGGAAACTCATATCTTTCAAATTTTTACTCTTACCAATAATTCCTCCCAGAGCTCGACCTGCTGATTCGGACAGAACTTTAACACCTTTCATAAAATTCATATGTTCATCAATACAAAGACCAAGGTATTTATATGAGTCTGCATAATTCAGTTTATATGATCCAACTTTAAACTGGTAAACACTACGAATAAATGAAGGTTTTCTAAAATGAATTATTTCAGTTTTCTTTTGGTTGATGAGCAGTCTCCATTTTTTACATCACTCATTAGTGTAGGAGAGCATCTGCTGCAATTTGTCTTCAGATGGTGATAGTAAAACTATATCGTCCGCATACAAAAGAATGCTTATCATTTCCCCTCCACACATTACGCCACAATTTAAAGCTTTAATTTCATTAGCCAAGTCATTTATATAAATTGCAAACAGTGTGGGGGACAGAGCATCGCCCTGTTTCACCCCTGATAAGGTTGGGACCCAGTTTGTGTGATACTCATTCAATCTTACACATGCTATGGGCTCACTGTAAAGAGCTTTTAAAGCCCTGTAGAATTTTCCATTCACCCCATACTCAATAAGTTTATAAGCTAAAAGGTCCCTATTGATCATATCAAAGGCCTTCTGAAAATCAATAAAGCAGGCGTATGTTGACTTATTTTCACTAATTATATTCCTTATAATTGTAGACAGTACAAAGATATGATCAAGACATGACCTTGTCTTACGAAACCCATTTTGCTCTTCAACAAGGAGGCGTTCTTTCTCTAAATACAGTGTGAGCCTTAGAATACAACTTGCAAACTGTGCTCATTAAGCTGATCCCTCTGTAATTTAATGGCACCCTCGGATCCTCATGTTGGGATTTTGGTATTGGGTTTATAATAGATTTAAGCCACATAGATGGTATTTTGTCAAATTCAAAACATATTCTAAATAATTTGCATAAAATATGAAATAATTTAGGTGATTTTAATATCTCAATTGGTATATTTTCAGCTCCAGTTGCTTTCCCCAGTTTGGCAACTCATTATTCCAATATGGTTTCCTGCTACGTAACGTTCTTTTAGAACAATGGTTGTCTCCAGCTTTATTATCAACCTCTATTTCTTTATTGATCAGTTTACAAAAACTACCATACCAATTATCTAGACTGTGTTGTTCTCTAAAACAAAATTGTAAATCATTCTTCAATTTCAAAAGAGTTAATTGTTGTAAACCAGAAGACAAAAAGTTGGTTGATAAAACCCTGCTGACTTTCTTTTTTGTAGAGGAACGTAGGTGACTCTCTTGAAGAACTGTATGTTCATAAGCCTCAGTCTCAGAATTTTAACAACAATACAGAATGATCTGGGACTGTACATCTTTCTCCAATTAAATCCATGCAATTTGCAAGTTTAAAACCTGTTGAGCCTCTAGACCTCTAGAGCTGCTAATAAAGGCCTGGTGTGTATCAATACACTGATCAGAAGAATATAGTGATGTTGCCCATCAAATTTAACAGCAGAACCTCAGCTACAAGGCTGTAAAAAACTTTTTACATGCCCCAAACTCAGTTTTAACATCAACTAAATAAACAACAACAACTAACTCCAACAAAAAAAGGTTCCGGGGGAACAAAAACAATGACCACTCACAGCAGCTGACATCTCCCCACAGCGCTTTCTGCTGACTCTGATTGGCTTACAGTGCTGTCAATCTCGTTTTGGTGGGTATAGCGTCATTCTATTGGCTCTAATGAATCAAACGAGGTGTCAATCACTCAAATCGGCCAAGCCGTTGCGGAGATACGGGCCTCCAAATCTCAGAATAGAAACAGGTTCAAATGTAGTAGGTGCATATTGGTCAGTTTGGAGTGGGAAATAGAGTTAAAAAACAAAACAGACAGTTCTGTGTGTATACCCTAAATATCAGTAGGGACTTACAGAAACAAAAATTAAATATACAGGATTGTACATGACAAAAATCACATGCAAACATGATGCAATTTTGGAGAGCTTGCCTGAACTTTTTGTACTAAAACCTCTCTAATATTGTTCTGCTTCACTTTATCAGAATCAACCTTTGCAGATTTAATGTTCACATATTGTACTATGATGTGATAGAGATTTAGAGCTGCTGCTGCATCATTCCAAAGGGATACTCATCCTAAAAATGCTTTTTTTTTTTTTAGGCGAACCTCAAAATATTTCATTTGTGCTGTGTGCCATCTTCATTTACTCTTCACATATAACACATATACTGATATTTACACATCTTAACAAATCTGTGTTTAAAGTGTTCCCTTTACCATGACACCAAAAGTATTCAAATAGACCTTGTGGTTGCAGAGATATATTCATTTCATCATGGATATGTAATTTTCGAGCAGAGGCCTATAAAATAGGGTCAGGTACCAACAGGTTTTAATTAGTTGATTTGGAGCTAATACTTCAAATGAGTCACAAATTTGTAAGCAATCATATGGTACAAATATATAGTCAACTACAGCTTTACCCTTAACAGATACAGATGTATAATTATCATTCAGGGGGCATATCCTTCCATTAACAATGCATAATTTTGATTCTTTTAAAAATTCAATCATTGATTCCCCATGCCTATTTACAAAATCATCCAAAGAGGATCTAGGGGGCATGTCATCCACTTCCTTTACATAATCATCAAATGCACCAATCCTACTGTTGAAATCTCCACAGCCAAAAATTGCCTCAACTTCCTAACACAAATAAATTTGACTCAAAAGATGATTAAACAAAAGCGAGGCGTCCCTTCCCCATACTGAAGTTTCAGGTGACAAATAACAGGTGAAAACTACAAACGTACATCCTGATTTCAAATGTAGGAATTTCAAAACTGTTTGTCTATGACATCTATTCTATAAAGTTCCAACAGATCATTCTTAACAAAAAAACCAATGCCCCCTGAACCCTTGGGAGCATTAACATGTTTCACTTTATTATAACCAAACCACTTATAATCGTCCAGGTCAATTACTTTATCATCATACAGATGCCTCTCATTCAACGAAATTATGTCCGGTTTCAAAGTATGCAAAATAACAGATCTTAACTTACAGTTTCCTACAGTCCATCCATTCACATTCCAGTGTGCTAGAGTGACAGAGTGATCATGATGGGCCAAAGAAACACTTCATCTTCTGTGATCTGAAACACGGCGTGGGTGATCTTCATCTCGTTTCACAATGTGTCCATTCCCCGTCACCACAAAGTCTTTCCCCGCCGGGATCTCCTTTAATATGGTGCGAAAATTCAAATCCAATAGTCTCTCCACATGTAATTTTGCCGAGCAAATAAACACCTTGTTGTATCGCTCATCATCTCTTAGTTTCTGCTTCCTTCTCAATATCGCAATTTTATCCTGGACTGAGGCCAGCTGGATCTTAACTGGGCCGGGTCCGCGACCTCTTGGCTTCAGCCTCTCCACTGCAACCAGGCTGGGCACAGCGTCGCACCTCAGCCCTTCAATAGCAGTTTGGACACCGACCTCTCCACCTGTTCACCTTCCTCAAAAGGCAAGCCAAAAATCATTATGCCGGTTTCTGGTTTGAAGTCTGCCGTAGCAGTCTTCTTAATATTTCGTTCCACCTGGTCAATACGGGCCATCAATATTCCGATTTCAATATCCAGACTGTTCTGCATCACCTTGGTACTTTTCTCAATTTCCATTTTAAGAGCATCTTGGTTTTCTTTTGTTAATTTTAACATCTTTTCACGGAAATTGTCAATTTTACTATTAAAGTTCTTGTCCAAGGATGCGTGTAAACTTCTTATCTTTTCGTCAAGCATCCTCTCCAGGCTGTCATTCAATCCAGCGATGCACTCGTTTAGTTTTCTTAATTCTTGAGTGATCGCCTGATTCTCATTTGGCTCCACATTTTTGTCGGCATTGCTCCGCAGAGTCTTCCCACTACTCTATCATTGTTGCGTTTTAGTTGCAACTTCTTCGACAGATGAGTCGTGCTAAATAAACAGTCCTTCTGAGAACTAATAAATGTCGATGTAAGTTCTCTATCAGGTGTTTTTTATCAAAAAAAAAGAAAAATTCTAGACACACAGCTCCACATGTAACACGTGTCTTGAACTGGAACCGGAAACATGATCAATGTTGCATTTATCTCATTATTGGACTCCACTGGCTGCAGTCAGAGTCTACATAAACCCACTCACTGTTTTAACCACACCCTCGATCTTGCTCTGACATATAGAATTGAGACTGAAAACATAATAATCTTTCCACAGAATCCCTCTTCAGACCATTACTTAGTAACTTTTGATTTCTTACTACTTGATTGCACGCCACTCTGCAAAAGTTACTATACTAGGTTTTTATGTTGCACGGCGGAAGTATAGGTTTTATTTTTTGTGCGTTCATATTGTGTTGTATTTATTGTGCATGACTTTACTTTAGTGTTGTGTTTTTATTTGCATGTTTTATTGTGTTTGATGGGTTTTATTGCCTGATTTTAATGTCTTTTATTGTTTGGTTTTAGGTTGAAATGGTTTGAGTTTTAATTGTATTATTTTACTTCCTGCCGGGGCATTTGTCATTAAAGCCCTTTTTAAATAGGAATTGTGCAAATTTGCAGAAAAGCCCAATCAGTCTTCTTTCAGTATTGGCAGTATAAAAACAAAATCGGGGAGTGCAGCAAAATGCCGCCTGCCTACTTTTGCTCATACAGAATGTGCCTTTTTCAGGGCAATGGGGGGCGGTAGCAAGTAACAAAATGTGGTGCTCAGCATGTCAGCGTCATCAACAGCTCCTCCCACAAGTCATCAACAGCCCCTCCCATGGTGGAAGGGCGCCTCGTTCTTTTTAAACCAAAAAGGTTATGCCAATATAACAAGGCGGAAAATTGGGCACCTCGGATCAACTCGCCAATCTGTGTCTCTAAATGCTCGCAGCTTGTCAGCAAAACAGCCCAACATTCGCCACATTCTGGCAGTGTAAAAGGGGCTTATGTCTATAACCTGCATCTGTGAAGCGCTTTTACCTTCTGATAGACTGACCAATGGCGCTGGAGAACGGAGTGGCCAGCGACCAATCGGCTAGCAGGAGGAGGGACTTAGGACTCCACACAGGAAACATGAGAGCAGCAGAGAGACCAGAGAGGAGCAGTGGACAGGTGAGGAGCACAAGGACAGCAGACGAGCCAACAAGCAGCGCCAAGAGTACTACTGTCCAGACGCCAGCAGAGTACGGGGAGCCGAAAGCAGAGTCAAGAAAGCCCAGAGCGTTATGATGTGACAGTGTGGCAGTGGCAGAGTGAGGAACTCTGCCTCACCGCGAGTCCATTCTCCTACAGAGGCCAGAAGAGACAGAAAAGCTGTGTGGCAACGGACATATGTAGAAGAAAATAAAAAAAACCCAGGTTTCTTTTTAGCATTGTAGCCAGGCTGACAGAGAGTCACAGCTCTATTGAGCCTTGTATTCCTTTAGTCCTCAGCAGTAATGGTTTTATGAGCTTTTTTAATGACAAAATTCTAACTATTAGAGACCTCTTGTCCTCACACAGTACAAATCTGCCTTCAATCACAGGGAACTTAAACACAGCTGTAAGACCTGATATATATTTAGATTGCTTCTCCCCGATTACCCTTCAACAACTGACTTCAGTGATTTCTTCATCTAAATCATCAATATGTATCTTAGACCCCATCCCAACTAGGCTACTTAACAAAGTCTTACCTTTAGTTAACACTTCTGTAACAGACATGATCAAATTATCTTTATTAACAGGCTATGTACCACAGTCATTTAAGGTAACTGTAATTAAACCTCTTCTAAAAAAGCCCACCCTGGATCCAGAGGTGTTAGCCAACTATAGGCCTACATCTAATCTTCCCTTTCTTTCAAAGATCCTTGAGAAAGTAGTCGCATACCAGCTGTGTGACTTTCTCCATGATCATTTATTTGAGGAATTTCAGTCAGGATTTAGAGTGCATCATAGCACAGAGACAGCACTAGTAAAATTACAAAGGATCTTCTGATTGCTTCTGACAAAGGACTCGTCTCTGTACTTGTTTTAGTAGATCTTAGTGCCACATTTGACACAACTGACGATCAAATTCTGCTACAGAGACTGCAACATTTAATTGGCCTAAAAGGTTTTGCACTAAGCTGGTTTAAATCCTATTTATCCTATCAATTTCAGTTTGTTCACATTCATTGAAGGAACTGTAGGGGTGATGTGGTTTGGGGAGAGTGAGTGTTCGGTGAACAAAGTCTCGGTCAGAAGACGTCAATGGCAAGGAGTGGAGTGATGGAATTAGGCAAGGGAGAAGGCAGGTTTCGATGCATCACCAGTAGCTTTTATTTATCTTTGATTTGATCTTTATCTGTCTTTGTCACGGCTTATTTTCGTGTGCTGCATCAGAAAAGAGATAAACAAAGAGACAATATAATTACAATCAAACAACAGAGTGGTCAATCAAACAATAAACAACAAATAAGTATGTGTGAATAAACAATCCACAACTAAACAGTAAAATGGTCAAGCAACAAACAATCTTACATGGCTCCTGGCACATGTCTGGGATTAGGGTAGCAGAGCACATGTCAGCAAAGCCACCACGAAAGGCATACAAATGAAACAATCAAAATGATGAATTGACCACTCACGTTAACTTGAAGACGCACACAAATCAGGATACATGGATATACTGGAATGCTGGCAGGGAGTGCAAAGGATGAACTGAGGGGTGAACAAACAATTTATAGTCTCCGCCCCTTACCCGGCATGTAAGGTGGGCGTGGTCAGGTGGCAGGTATCTGTTGGGTTCACTTTGGCAGATTCACCATATTTATTTGTATTTATTTGGAAAGAAACTGAACTGAGAAAGCACCTGGTCCAGGGAGTCTTTTCATTCATGATGAATCATCTTTACATACTAAAGTTTGTTTCGGAGTTCCACAAGGTCCTGTGCTCAGACCAATTCTATTCAGTTTATATATATGCTTCCCTTAGGTATCATCATTAGAAATCACTCTGTAAACTTCCATTGTTATGCATATGATACGCAATTATATCTATGGATACAGCCAGAAGAAACGGATCAATTAGACTTCAAACATGCCGTAAAGGCATAAAAATCTGGATGAGGTCCAATTTCCTTATGTTAAATTCAGACAAAACTGAAGTTATTGTTCTTGGCCCCAAACACCTCAGAACCTCTCTAGCTGAAGATAGTTTCTCTGGATGACGTTGCTCTGGCCTCTAGCACTACCGTAAGACACCTCGGAGTAATATTTGATCAAGATTTGTCTTTTAACATATAAAACAAACTTCACAGACTGCTTTCTTTCATCTGCGCAATATTGCAAAAATTAGGCCTATCCTGTCCCAAAAAGATGCAGAAAAATTGGTCCATGCATGTGTTACCTCTAGACTGGATTACTGTAATTGCCTATTATCAGGTAGCTCTAATAAGTCTTTAAAAACTCTCCAGCTGATCCAGAACGCAGCGGCACATGTACTGACAGGAACTAAGAAAAGGGATCATATTTCTCCTGTTTTAGCTTCTCTGCACTGGCTCCCTGTAAAATCCAGAATTGAATTCAAAATCCTTCTCCTAACTTACAAAGCTTTAAATGGTCAGGCTCCGTCATATCTTAGAGAGCTCATAGTGCCCTATTATCCCAGCAGAACACTGCGATCTGAGAATGCAGGGTTACTCGTGGTTCCTAAAGTCTCCAAAAGTAGAAAAGAAGCCAGAGCCTTCAGCTATCAGGCTCCCCTTCTGTGGAATCTTCTTCCTGTTTTGGTCTGGGAGGCAGACACAATCTCCACATTTAAGACTAGACTTAACACTTTCCTTTGTGATAAAGCCTATAGTCAGGGCTGGCTCAGGCTTGTTTTGGGCTGGCTCAGGCTTGTTTTGTACCAGCCCAGCAAGCAATAGTCGTGATTTAAATGTATTGGCTATATTTAGCTCCGATTTAGTCTAGCTACAAGTAACCCAAATCTAGCCAATTTAATTTTGAAATTGATTAAATGTAATTTTCACCATTGCAGATGGCGTGCGGTATGATATTCAATCACGTATGGAGAGTCAACAGTAATTAAAATATGTTTATCTCCATTTTTTGGACATGGTCTCTACATAGCCATGTAATTGATGACGTCTACACTTTGGCTATGGTTAGACGCCAAATTTTCACTGACAGCCCAAATTCAGCCGTGATTTAGCCTAGACGTCAGGTCTTCATGTAGACGGCTATTAGACGTTTTTTAAACCAAAAAATGCTTGCTGGGAACCTATTCTGTCAGTCTCTCTCTCTCTCTCTTCTATTGCTAACATTCACGTCCTATAGCTGCAAATCGCTAACTCAGCTTTTCTGCATTTCACTAACTCGGCTTCTTTTCCAGAGCCTTTGTGCTCCACTGTCTCACATGTTACCTTGTATCGCAGCTATGCCTGGTTCATGTGTCATGGTTACACTTCTGCTGTGGTCCTGCCTGATGCCTCCTACTACTGCTGTTACTATTTGTCATACTTCTACTGTTATTATACACATATGATCATTATTGTCACATACATATACTATCATATATTCATTTATACTTATTACATATGCTACCACCATTACTGCAAATTTATTAGGTTGATCTGTTCTGTACGACATCTATTGCACGTCTGTCCGTCCTGGAAGAGGGATCCCTCCTCAGTTGCGCTTCCTGAGGTTTCTACCATTTATTTTCCCCATTAAAGGGTTTTTTTGGGGGGAGTTTTTCCTTATCTGCTGTGAGGTTTCAAAGGACAGAGGGATGTCGTATGCTGTAAAGCCCTCTGAGGCAAATTCTGATTTGTGATATTGGACTTTATAAATAAAACTGAATTGAAAATTGAAATTGAATTGAACTGTAGCCATTATCTTACTTTCAATCAATCAATCAATCAATCAATCAATCAATTTTATTTATAAAGCCCAATATTACAAATCACAATTTGCCTCACAGGGCTTTACAGCATACGACATTCCTCTGTCCTTAGGACCCCCACAGCGAATAAGGAAAAACTCCCCCCAAAAAAAACCTTTAACGGGGGAAAAAAACAGTAGAAACCTCAGGAAGAGCAACCGAGGAGGGATAAAGAGTCTCTCAGATGTTAGGGGCCAAGAACAATAACTTCAGTTTTGTCTGAATTTAACATAAGGAAATTGGTGCTCATTCAGGTATTTATGTCTTTTAGACAATTATGAAGTTTAGTTAAAGGGGCTGTATGTAAGAATGTGGCCAAAACTGTTACTACACTCAAATTCAAAATACTGCGGCGAGTTGTGTCCGCCCCCCCTCCCCTACAGATTCGAGGTTGCGGCACGCTGGAGACTGATTTGTTTGCCCACGGGCGGCTGCTGTGGCAGGGCCGCGTCGCCGCATCCTTAATCTTCGGTTTTCCAGCGGACCATTCAAGCAAGTCTGGCTTCTCTGCTGCTAATGCTGCTGCCCGGATACAGCAGAGGAGGAGCTGGCTGCTAATGCTATGTACCAAGACACTGCTAATGCCGCTTGCCGTGCTGCTCGTTTGTTTCTCAAAAAAATCAGTCGGGTCAATGCACTACCTGCACATGGGCTACAATGTATGATTGAAAATAAATAACAGTTGAAAGTATTCGAAATGCCCATCCCCATCTAGCTATGATGCTAGTTAGCCAACTTTGGCTAAAGCTTACCTGTCGAGGAGAAGAGTAGCCACTTTTTTGGGAATCATAACAATGTCGTTTGGGTTCAGTCGCACGGAACTCCAAAACAAACTTTAGATTGTGTGTAGATTTGCGCATAAAAGCCTACGCTACTAAAAACCTACTCTGGATTCAGGAACGCCACGGGAAACTCAGATTTGATCGTAAACACGTGTGTATGATCATGAATGCCAATCCATCGCTCCCGGTAATCAGCAATTAGCATAAACCCCCGCCCATGATTAGCCAATGACCACCATATAAGGAGGTGTAGGTGCATCCAGTCGACCTGTCAGTCATGGCGCAAAGAAAGAAAGAGAGAGAAAGAAAAAATAATTTTTCCGAAGCGGAGATCGAAATAATTTTGGGTGAAGTGGACTTAAGAAAAAACATTTTATTTTCTTCAGTTAGTAGCGGTGTGACAGGGACAGGCAAAGCGAAGGCCTGGAGGGAGGTAACAGATGCTGTTAATGTTGTCTCTGTGGTACAAAGAACCATTGTTTGATATGAAACTGGAGGCAAAGAAACGCATAAGCACACACAAAAAAATACAGCGGTCACCAAACAAACAGAAGATTCATTTGTGGGAATGGGAAACCAGAGATGTTTTGTGCGTAATGGATAAACTCTAAATCAGTGATGGCTGTCGAAATGTAGAGCTATTTAACATTTATTTTAACAAATGATACGGATAACATATAGCCTACAGCAGTTTTGTATGCATCGTCTTCAAATGATTTGAATCTTAATAGCCTAAAGCTCTGTTTTATACAACGTAAATTAAACATTTTTCAAATCAGATTTATTCATTCAAATGATCAAAAAGCCACAAAACAACAACAACAACAAAAAAAAACGTGTTGTCTCAAATAATTCTTTCAGCTGGCGCATGCTCCTTCGTGGCTCCACCACCTGCTGCTCCTGCTGCTCCTGCTGAACCCAGGCACCGAGGCCAAAGAGGCTGTGATCTGGCTGTCCTTACGGATATTTTTGTTATCATCATTCAACATGTAGAAAGAATGTCTAATCTATTGAGTCGATTTACATAGATAATTCACAATCATGAACCTAATCTGGATCTTAAACCTGCTAATTGCCAACTAATTTAACTAAATGTGTTATATTTTTAATATTTTGTCATGTTTAGATTACGTGTTTCAAAGGCATCTGTGTATTGTGTACATAACAACGGGAGGCAGACACCGTCTCCACATTTAAGACTAGACTTAAGACTTTCCTCTTTGATAAAGCTTATAGTTAGGGCTGGCTCAGGCTTGCCCTGTACCAGCCCCTAGTTAGGCTGAATTAGGCCTAGTCTGCCGGAGGACCCCCTTATAATACACCGGGCACCTTCTCTCCTTCTCTCTCTCTCTCTCGTATTCTACTACTGCATCTTGCTAACTCGGCCATTCTGGATGTCACTAACTCGGCTTCTTCTCCGGAGCCTTTGTGCTCCACTGTCTCTCAGATTAACTCATATCGCAGCGGTGCCTGGACAGCGTGACGTGTGTGGTTGTGCTGCTGCCGTGGTCCTGCCAGATGCCTCCTGCTGCTGCTGCCATCATTAGTCATTAGTCATACTTCTACTGTTATTATACACATGACTATTGTCACACATGTATACTGCCAGATATTAATACATACTTTCAACATATTGTACCACAGTAGCCAGAACTATAACTATAATATTATTACTTTCAATAATGTTGTTGTAAGCTACTGTTATTACCTGCATCTCTCTCTCTATCTCTCTCTCTGTCTCTCTCTCTGTCTCATTGTGTCATGCGGATTACTGTTAATTTATTATGCTAATCTGTTCTGTACGACATCTATTGCACGTCTGTCCGTCCTGGAAGAGGGATCCCTCCTCAGTTGTTCTTCCTGAGATTTCTACCGTTTTTTTCCCCCCATTAAAGGGTTTTTTTGGGGGAGTTTTTCCTTATCCGCTGCGAGGGTCATAAGGACAGAGGGATGTTGTATGCTGTAAAGCCCTGTGAGGCAAATTGTGATTTGTGATATTGGGCTTTATAAATAAAATTGAATTGAATTGAATTGAATAACAGAGCGCAATACGAATTAAAATTGTAATTTCCAACAAGCAATATTTATGTGCTTTACTAAATTTACACAAGCACTACGAGTGGTCAGGAGCAGGAGTAGATTTTGTTAGTAGCTACGAAAAGATCGGAGCTACTAAAATATTGATGAATGCGGACATGCAAGTAAATTTCCATCTGCGGACAGTTTACACACAAATTCCTTCTGCTCACATTTCATGAATGAGACCCAGTGTGTCTCTGACCCTGAGATATTACTTGAAAATGTTTGACAGGTAAACACAGTTTATTTATTTATGTTTGTTGTGGTGATCTTGGCCTGCATTATGGTGAGGATATGGAGTTTAATAAATGTGCCAGCACTGTGGCTGGCTTATTTCCAGACTTAATTATTTTACACAATCCATATGTGCAGGTGGTGAAGACGTACATAAACTGACTGGAGATGGTGGTGTGTTTGTGTGTGTGTGTGTGTGTGTGTGTGTGTGTTTGTGTGTGTCAGTACCGCAGTGTCTACAGTGCACTCTGTGCACCTCACAGCACAGTCATGTTCACTGCAGCAATTTTACACACAAAAACTTTATGAATGCTTAAATCATACTTGGTGATAAATGCACAGTATTGGAAGATATTATATAAAATACTGGCGCTCTGTTCCGCAGTTTTTAAATGCTGTTCGATGTGTGCATTTGAACAGCTGTAGTGCGCGCCACAACTGAGCATGAGTGTAAGTGTCATACAGTCCAGCTCTCTGCTCTGCTCTCCAGGAGGATGTCACACTGCTGCACTGAACGTTTATGATAAAGGGGATCTATCAGTAATTTGTGATATGAAGTGGAATTTTAATGTGTGAGAGGCACTCTTACATGTATAATGATGCCTCTTACATTTAATTTCTACAGTCTGGCTTCAAATCACAACCTCACCATCTGCATCGCCAATTTCCCCTGTCTCCATAAATGTTTGTATACAGTGTTCAGAGTTCTCCTATAGGTGTGAACATTCTGCCATCAAGTTTGTCTTTATAAATCCCAATTTTTGTGTAGCAAGTAGCATACTCCTGTTTTGGGCCTTGTTCTGCCAAGTTCTTTCCTGATCAACCTGATCTCACAGAAATACGTGAAATGACCACGACCTCTTAACACCGCATTCCATGGTGGCAGCACATAATGGGTTGAAATTACGTGCCGGTACCACGGAAACAATGCCAATGTAAAGTCAATTAAGATCCTTTTTCATGGTGTACACACGAATTCCCTGATTCAACAACGTCACGTCAACCTCGTTGTCCTCAATGATATCTTTAACATTCCTGTATACACACAAAAACACGGAAGTGTCCTTGATAACTCAACAATATGACAGGTTAATGTCAAGGCCATAAAATAAAATAAATGTATTTTGCCAGCTTTTGACAGCGTAGGCTTTAAGAGCATTGTGCTGTGGGCGGATGGGGCACGTTCCACTACTATTTTGTAGCTACTGTCTGCCGTGTGTTGGCTTCATTCCATTTTTTTCCATTTCCATTTTAACCAATCAGTGTACTTAAAGTCATTTTGGTTGTTTAGTTTCTATGTAAATAAGGAACTCTTGAAGGTAAATATAGGCAGCATTACAGTGAAAGTTCTAATAATAGATTACACACTGTTTGTCTATAAAGTTGCATTTAAATCTGGGATCAGTGTTACTACATGTTGGGTGTAAGTGACTGGTGAGTGCATACATACATCAGCTCCCGCAGTCTGGTAACCTCTGGTTCTGGTCAGTTGGCCCTCGTACTTCAGAACAATCTCTCTGGCCTGCCTGGGAAACAAAGACATGCAGGTGGAAATTCACTTAGTACATTTACTCACACACCGGATTTGTTCTTTCCTCATATATTTAGATTTTGTGTACCTGTACACTTCTGATAGTACTCCACTACATGTTTGAGGCAAGAATTTAATTTTTTGCTTCACTTCATTCATCTGTGATTATTGATTGTTATAAACAATTTTAAAAAATGAATAATGAGTGGTAGCCAGAGTATGACTGCACATTCTGAGGTGTATGGAGAGGTATAGATGATTATAACTGAGCCAGAGGTCAACTCCAATGTGAAGTGAATGCTTGCTTTAGCAACTCTCTCGTTCTTGTTATTCAGTCATTATTTGGACTGTCGTACTATTGAAGGCAATGAACAGTATTATATGGTACATGTGTGGCTACATGTGTAAATGTTATTATATATATTTTTACACTATACAATGTATCTTTCTACTCTTGTAAGGAGCATCTGTAATGCCAACAATTTCCCCCCAGGGATCAATAAAGTATCTCTGATTCTGATTCTGTTATATTGTTCAGCATTTGTAGATAAAAATGGTAGATGTTATATTTGAGGATATAAAGAAATGAGGACACTCATTCCAGTTACAGTATTTCTATGAGGCTTTTTAATGTTAGAATCAGTGTGTTTGTTCTGTGGTTAAAAGCAAATTGGTGACTAGAATCAGAATCAAAAAAGTATTCACTGTCAAGTAGGTTTTCACTTACGGAAGGAATTTGCTTTGGTTTTTTGGTGCATACATATTAACATACAGTGAACCTGTAAAAAGAATTAAAGTAAGGCAAGGCACTGCAACACTCAAGAACATACATGTGAATAGAAAAAAACACAATGAAGTATGGCAAAGAAACTTTTAGAAAGCACTATACCATACAAATATGTACAATATAGATGTTTCAGAAAAAAACTGTACAGTTCTGTGCAGGAGGTGCAAAAATATTAAGCAGGTGATGTGCAAAAATTCCAAATGGTGCAAATGTGTGCAACGTGCATAAGTAATATTCCCAGATGTGCATTAATGTAATGCATATAGACGGTGTTTAAGGGGAGGGCAGAGGGTATGAGAGTCCATGTCAGTGGGGTTCCAGATGAGGCTCACAGTTGAGAAGAAACTGTTTTTGTGGCATGAGGTTTTGGTCCAGTGGTGATTGCTCTCAGACTGCAAGGGAAGCTCAGCTTCCCCTAAAATGTCAAAAAATAAGTGGTCAAATATGTACTGTTGTGTTTACATTTCATTTCATTGACTAAATATGCGCTGGAACGCAACTTTTGTTCAGAAGCAGCTACTTATCACAGGTCACTGACGCAACTTTCTTCTCATTCATTCCTGTAGCGTCACAGTGCATTAAACAGTGTCGAAGCTCAGCATCCAAAGACTTCAATGGGGAAGCATAGAGTGGGTTGTTCCACTGCAGCGAAACTAGACAGTCATTGGATAAATGCTCGGTTTTGTCCTGCCCATCGGAGGCTCAGCGTCCCTGGTGGGTCTATGGGGCAGTGGGCTGGCCTCGGCTGGCCTGGACGCTGGGCTTCTGCATGATGATTGGATGATCTGTCTGAGGCTGAATCCCTTTTTGATTAACAGCGAAATGAGCGAATCAGTGATCTTGAAATATAAACCACCACCGGAGCATTTTTCAAGTTTCATTCCATTGTTCCGAGTTGATCTGGAGACTTTTCCAATCCTCTTAGTGACTTTTTCTTTGTTAAAAACGACTAGCGACAAATCTAGCATCTTTTTCTGGTGTTATTGGAGACTGTAATCATGTTTGGAGACTCTGACTTCTGTTGCTCTGCAGTTACTGTCCCCAACGAGCAGCGGGTGCTGCTGTGAGCCCCTCCACTGTCCCAGAGCACTCACAGGCGGTCACACTAGCCTCGCACAGCAGCCCCAGAGGGTAGAATTTGCGTATAAATAAACGGACACATTTTATGATGTAGGCCGACAATGAGCTTCCCCTCCTTGAAAGACCAGCAGCCGCCACTGTTTTGGTCCTAATGGACCGCAGCCTCCCACCAGTGGGGAGAGTCACAAAGAGTTTGTGTTCAGGGTCGGCCATAATCTTTCCTGCCCACTTCAGGGTCCTGGAGTCGTACAGATCCTGGAGGGATGGCAGAATGCAGCCACTGACCTTCTCAACAGAGTGAATGATACACTGCAGTCTGCCCTTGTCCCTGGCAGTGGCTGCAGCATACCAGATGGGGATGGAGGAGGTGAGGATGGACTTAATGATGGCAGTGTAGAAATGAACCAACATTGTCTTTGGCACGTTGAAATTCTTCAGCTGCCACAGGAAGAACATCCTCTGCTGTGATCATAAGTGCTATATCGTAGGCAACTGGATTTGCTTGCGTTTCTTGAAGACGTTTTGCCTCTCATCCAAGAAGCTTCTTCAGTTCTAAATGATTGGTACGGAGTTGCAGGCTTTAAACTCTGTGTGGGTGTTGTTGGGGTCACATGTGAGCTCTTAGCTTCAGAGTCGTTAAGGTCACAATGTGAGTCATTGACCTCCCATTTTAATTTCAAATTGTGAATTATTTTGCAATGTAGTCTATTTATTTATAGATCATTTACAAACAAATGTAATTATGCTTATTTAAATAATTAACAATTATTTAACAATTTATGGGGGGTGCTGCTGCACAGGAGAGATGTAGAAACGGCTAGAGGAACACAGATGGAGATTGCTGCGGTCAGGGATGAGTTGACTTCATCAGTGGCCACCATACAGCAGTCCCTTGAGAAGCAAGACGGACGCCTGAAGGAGGTACAATCATCAGCTACAGCAACAAGTGACTCCGTAACTACTCTGGAAACCGTGGTCTCTAAACTCCAATCTGATGTCAAGGACCTCCAAGTCAAGTGTGAAGATCTTGAAAGCAGATTGAGGAGAAACAACAAGTCTGCTGGGCATACCAGAGGACCAGGAAGGCGCTTCACCCACGGAATTTGTAGCCCCTCTCTTGCAGACAATTCTTAAGCTCGAGGATGGAACTGCTTGACAGAGCCCATAGGACTTTACAAGCTAAACTGAAACCTAAACAACTACCGCGGGCTTTTGTCGTCAGGGTCCACTATTTCCACATTTGTGAACTCATCCTTCGTCAGGCACACCAGATTGGCTCTCTGTCTTACAATGGACGGGCCATATACATCTTCCCCGACTTGTCTACCAGTGTGGCCAAAAAGCAAGCCGCCTTTGGAGATGTGAGGAAACTGCTCCGTGATAATAACAGTAGAAGTATGACTAATGATAACAGCAGCAGCAGGAGGCATCAGGCAGGACCACAGCAGCAGCACAACCACACACATCACACTATTCAGGCACTGCTTTTTCACAATTGTTTGCTGCTTTTCTATTATATTCTTCAGCTATGGCAGGCTAGTTAATTTTAAATTGATGAGTTTTTCTTTCCTCTTAATTTCTCCGTGCATGTCTGTTTACTGCACATTTTCTATGTCTATCATGATAATTACCTCATCTTGTGTCAGAGTTGATAGTTTTGTATAGATAACTGGGACAGTGATAGGTTAATCTACGGACCAGTTAAATGGGGAATATGATTACACCAAGTTCAGGGAGGTGTACAGGTGAGAGGGAATTGTATATGTGTATTTTTATTATGTTTTGTGTCTCTACTTTGATTTTTATGTGCAGGCTTAAAGCTTTATATGGCAGTGCTGTTCTCTATTGTATCGAGACTATCTCTCCACACAGTTACATATTCCATATGTATCAAATGGTGGGAGACCCTGGCCAACATCTCCAGGGGGAGTTTGCTGGGTCCAGTGCTGCGCCGACAGGTGATGTCTACGGACGCATCCCTGGCAGGATGGGGCGCGGTCCACGAGGGCAAGGGCGCCAGCGGGAGCTGGAGTGGTGCCTGGATGGACCAACACATCAATGTCCTGGAGCTGAGGGCCATTTACTTGGCATTTCGGCAATTTGCACCGAGCCTGCAGGGCCATCACGTGCTTGTGAGAATGGACAGCACGGCGGCGGCTTATGTCAACAGGCAGGGGGGCTTGGGCTCCCCACGCCTTTGCAGGGGGGCACACAGGCTGTGGACATGGGCAGGCACATGATTCCTGTCGCTCAGAGCCATGCATGTGCCTGGGCAGGTGAACATGGGGGCGGACCTGCTCTCCAGAGGTGGCCCGACCCCAGGGTAATGGCGACTGCACCCGGAGGTGGTCGAGGAAATCTGGTGTTGTTTCGGCAGGGCAGTTGCCGATCTGTTTGCATCCAGGAACAACGCGCACTGCCCGCTGTTCTTTTCCATGGGGAGAGACGCCCCCACGCTGGGCGTCGATGCCATGGCGCACCAATGGCCTCCGGGGCTGCTGTATGCCTTTCCCCCATTCAGTCTCCTTCCAACCCTGCTGCTGAGGGTCCAGGTGGAGGAGGTGAGGCTGATCTTGGTGGCTCCGAACTGGCCTCACATGATGTGGTTCTCAGGGGTGGCACCTCTCCTGGACGGGAGGCCATGGGAACTCCCAGTTCGCTGGGACCTTCTGAGTCAGGCACAGGGGGCCCTGTTCCACCCCTTTCCACAGGGGCTCAAGCTCTGGGCCTGGCCCCTGAGAGGGCCAGTCTGTTGGGCATGGGGCTAGCACAGTCGGTGGTTCAGACCATTCAGGGTGCTCGAGCGCCATCAACAAGGGCGGCGTATTCGTATCGCTGGGACGTCTTTGCGTCATGGTGCAGGGTGAACCATGTGGACGCACTGACCTGTCCAGCTCCTAAGGTGCTCCGATATCTGCAGGAGTTGCTTGAGGCAGGGAAATCACCATCTACCCTTAGGGATATGGTGGCAGCAATCAAGGCCGCTCGTGTTGGGGGTAACAGGTTGGCCGATGGTGATTGCAGCCTCATCTCGCAGTTTCTGAAAGGTGCTGTGAGGCTTGCTCCATGCAGCAGAAGGTTGGCTGTCCCAACATGGGACCTAGACCTGGTGCTGGCTGCCTTGCGAC